TAGTAAAATGGAGCCAACCCACCTGAAACGATAAATCAGCAACAACTCCCTTTTTTTTCAGAATCAAAACAAAATTGCACTGTATTTATATCAGGTAGAGAGTTGTTAAATAACCTATTAGTTCACTTCCTCTACCACTTCCTCTGGAAAAAATATTTTCTCATATTCATGTTAAGCATGGCCATTGCCTTGACAGAAGTGTAGGGTTTAAGCTCTGATCCTAGGGTCTGGGGAACATTGCGTGTTTTTACTTTGTTCCTTAAAAGCTTCCAGACTCTCTCATGAGAAGAACACACCCCAAGTAACTGTCATCTCACACCATGGTCCCAAAATGAAATGTGTAACTCAGACCTGAACTTGGTCCCACGTCTTAAACAGAACCGTTCCAGCCACCTACAGATCCATGACTAGAAAGCAATACTTATGTGTTGAAATTCTGCAGCTGTTTGTTACTCAGCAAAAACTGACTGCTACTGTATTTAAGATCCCTTTCCCGATATGACTGTGCCTACCCTCTGCAGCATCATCGCCTACTGGTCATGTCAAACAACTCACCTTTTCTCAATCCCACCATTTTTTCATCAAATTTTCATGATGTTCCTTTTGGAGTTGCCTCTGCCTAGAATTGTCTTCTTTACCTACTCATCATTCAAGGCTAGGATCAAATTATCAAATTTAATTTTTTACCTCTGATGCCTTTCCTGATCCATTTTTCTCTGTACCAAAACCAAATAAAACCAATCAAACAAAAAACACTTAATAATAAATTGTGAATTCATTCAGTGACCCTTGGTTGGGTGCTACTCAGAGGCCGATTCCTCATTGTACCCCCAAACTCTTCATCCAAATCCCTTATATGACTCCTGTCACTTTGCAACACAATGTCTACTTGAGAGGCCTGCTCCCTCCCCACTAGTCCTTGCCTCCTCCAGAACCGAGGTTGCCTCTTTTATCTCCATGACCAAGTGTGAGGGCAAACACAAAGTGAATGTGAGTTGAATCCAGTTGCTCTACAAACAGCCATAGACAGTTAAGTAACCAGTTTTTTGGAAACAGGAGAAGAGATCAGAGGTGGAGTCTGCAGCTGGAGCTGATGCTGCTCCCACCTGCAGCCCTGGCCCTGGCCCAGTTCCAGAGCAAGGCAGGAAGCCCTCAAGCACCACAGGATCTCAGTCCAAGTAATTTAGTGCTGGCTCGCCCTGTTTGCAAGCCTCTTTTCTGAGCCACTTCACTGGGCCTTCACGATTATCCTCTTTTCTTCAAATCCCTCTGCTTGGTCTGGCCTAGGCAACCCTGCTCCCCTCCATCAACCACTGAGGTACTTCCAGAGAACTTAGGCTTTCTGATACAAGACTGGACTATTTAGTTCCAAGTTCTGGTGGCTTTTTCAGCTACCACTTTCCTCTAAGAGGACCAAGGGAAGGGTTCTGTTTTGTTCTTGCCAGTCCCCTGCCCAATTACTGAAATGCTTCTGGTCCCCAGTTGGTCTCTGGGACCTGATTCCCATGTCAGCCACCTTGGACTTTGACAGTGGGCTACAAAATTCCCGTTAGGATTTGGTAATTTGGTAACAGTTACCAGTAAGCACTCAGCCCTTTGAAGATAAGGTCTTTACTCCAGACTGCAGATAGAGCCTATCTTACATATACCACTGAAAGAATATTGAAGGAATAAATGAAAAGGTGAATGCTCGGCCTCAGAGCCCTTCTGGAGGATAAAGGGGAAACAGAGTGAGCACAGTCATTTGAAATTTCAGCCCCAAATCTTCTAGTTGTTTCACTCTTATTCTTATTCCTACACAATCAGTTTCTCTTGCTGATGCTGAAATTTTGGCCACCAGTCCTCCTTCACACCCTCCCACCATCTTCCTGCCTCCCTGTGTTGGCCAGTCAGTCCCTCTGGCACAAGGCTCTGGGGATGAATCGACCCACAGTGAGGCAGGTCCCCGTCTAGTGAGTTCTGGGACCTCATCCTTGAGTTCTCCCTCCCAGGAAGCCTCTAGACATATACTCTGATCACTTGTACAGTCTCGGGACCAACCTTGTGTATCAACTCTCAAACATGACCAGAAAGAACTGAAACAATGCCAGTTTCCACATAAGAATCTTGAACTCCTACATCTAATTCAGCTATACCCCTGCCCCACAACAAACACACCACTCACTATCATGCTGAGATGGTGTAGGGGACCAAGGGTGGCTTTGGTGGAACTCAGCTTTCCCCGCTGCTCTCTAATGCCATAATGAGCAACCCTGTCTTCTTGCTAAATCCAGGAAGGGACAGAGAAAGGGAGAAAGCCAAGACATTCTGTTCTGTCCCTTCCTCCACCAGGCTGCCGGCATCTGTTCTCACAGGACCCTGAGCAAATGATTCTACTAGGATCTTGCCATGCCAAATGCTGAGGAGGGGAGGGATGCCCAAGACGACACCCATGTCAGAGCCTGTTAAACCATCTCTTGGCTCTGTGGTCCCACGATGCCCAGCTGGGGAGAGGCCAGAGCAGCCTGGTCATCTAATCATCCCCCACTTTACTACACTTTTCTAAAGCAGCCAGAATCCTATTTCTCTTTAAATGTGCCTTTGAGGCTAAGAAGACTGTCTGATAAGTAGATAAAACTGTGAGCTCGGAAGGCTATTTTAGGTCATTAAAACACCCAGATGTCTTCAAGGCATTTATTTATGCCCCAACCTAAAGAGAAACATCACTCAGACTAAGTTTTCCAGTTCCTTCCAGCTCTGGGTCACTACAGCACCGGTAACAGCTGAGGGCAACCCCTACCCCTCCTCTGCATGCCCTTATCATCCCTAATGCTCCTTTGCCACTGGGGCTGCTGTTTTTTACATGCAAATTTCACATAAAATCCTTCAAATGAAAACAGGTACTTTTCATTTCGCTCCCATAAACAGACACTTTCTAAATATTTAGACATCTGTATATAATGCCCTTAAACTGTTTGTTCTGAAGCATAAATAGGTATCTCTATGTTTGAGTTAGTGTCTGATATGTTTCTCATTTAAAAAGAAAACATAAAAAATAATTGGAATAACCACAGCCAGGAACAATGCTTACACAGCATGTCAGTGTCTTTTATTGTGTCTTAAAGTAAAAGCTTCAATTGTAAGAGTCTTGCTCTCTCCACCAAACAGAGCCATGGCTCTTTCTCATTAACCCTTCCCAGTGTTCTAGGCAAGGGCAAGAGCACCAGCTAACAGCCCCAGTTTACAGCCTGATATCCTGGCTAGGTGGACTCACTTTGCTTAGGGCAGTATACTGATTCCTTATTCTTCAGCCTAACTTTGTCAGTGAAGGGGACAGATCCTCATTTTACTTCCTAGTTAGGCAAAGTCTGACCTTTCCTCAGCCCACTCCCCAGGAGCAGAATAGATGAGAAATAAGGACAACAAGACTGGAGCCTTGCCTTTCGGAGTCATCACTCTTTGGAGTCTCCACTAGAGAGATTTGTGACTGTCCATCCACTGTAAATGGACCAAGAGGTTCAGTTTAGGAAGGATGATAGAATTAGAGACCAGATCGGATACAGATCCAAGCCACTTTCTCCAACCAGTTCTAAAAATAATACTAATATTTTATATTTCTATCTCTCTTACTCTAGTAACTTCCTTAAGTGGTCTGACCTAAAATTTGAAGAAGGGTGAGATATGTACTACCCCTCAAACTCTTACTACCTAGCAGATATTGCCAATACCTGTAGATCCTCTCTCACAGGTTAGATATATTTTTACGACATCCTCAAAATGGAGGCTACACAGATCATTAATGAATATTGTTCTGGGGCCTCTAAGTCAGCTCTCCCTGTGTCATCTTTAACATCCCTGCCCAAATGTTATCCAGCCTCTGTTCAAACCTTCCGATGAGAGAGAGAATTCTCTCCCCTAAGGTTCTTTTCATTGTTGACCAGCTCTGGTTGTTAGAAACATTTTGAAGTAGGCTGAAATTCTCAGTAATGCCCACTCATTGGCTCTATTCACTCATCTGTTCACTTATCAAACATAATATGAAACCCTGATTGTGTAAGACACTCTGCTGGGTGCTTAAGATTAAAATACAAATGAGGAAGTTTCTATTTCTTCAGAATCTGTTAGGAAAATAGACACTAAAGCTAGTAATTTCAGTTTGGTGTGAAAACCTCTGTGATAAAGGCAGGGAGGATCCAGCAGACAGATCTGTTTGCTTCTGAGGAAAGGCCAGCAACTGAGGTCCCCCCACCCCCAGGACAAGGCACACCATACCGTCTTGCTTCCACAGCGTGGACTCTGATTGCCACCAGGAGGTTAGAAGCAGGACAGACTATGGGTTCAGAGTGCCCAGGCCTGCAGGGAGCTCAGCAACCATAATAGACCAAGCACTGGCCAAGTCAAGGGGCAGGAGGAGCAGCTCCAGCACGGACAGTGGTACCTCACCCATGTGTCCTCCTACCTCACTCCATGCAGTGGCCAGAAAGATTCTCCTGAAGCAGTAGATCATGTCACTGCTAATTCTGTAACCTTCTGCAGGCTTCGGAACACTCAGAGGAGAAACCAAAGCATTTCCAGAAGCCATGAGGTCTGCATAATCCTGCCCTCATTAACTGTTTTAGTCTGTATGCTGTTACTAATAGCACAATGCCACAGTGGGTGAGTTATAAATGAAAGAGGTTTATTTGAGCTTTTGGTTCTGGAGGTCCAAGGTCAAGGGTCTGCACCTGGTGATGGCCTTAGTGTTGGCAGAGTTACAAGGTGGCTCAGGATGTCACATGGCAAGAGACGGAGAACACATGCATATCCAGGTGCTCTGGTCCACATCAGGAATCCACTAAAGATTTGTCAAATAGAGTCAGATGTCTGACATGTTTGTGTGAATAAATATATAATGGAAGGCTTTATCTTGATCACATACTTTGATGTCTCCTGTATAATGAATATGTCACGCGTCATATGACACAGTCATTTGTTCAACTTCAGGTACCTGAGAAACCTAAAGCTCTATTGGAACTGCTTACCTGGAATGAGGGGCTCCACCTAGTACTGGATCTCTGATTGGGGTGTCTACAGATGCTGTTTGAAAATCCTGGGGGATGGGATCCACTGCTCATTGGGCAAGGCACCTTGTACAGTTCTGAAAATACAAAAACTGGGGTCACAAATACAAGTGTCTGGGACCCAGGGATTGAAATGACTGGAGAGAGTAGGGACATACTTAGCTCTCCAAAAGTAAAACCAGCAGCCATCACTCACTTCTACCTGAAGTTCTCCTTATAAGAACACAAGGGTCAGCATTAACCAGATTCCCCTTTTTTCATAGGACCTAGAAATCTGAACTCTAATATGAAATCTCCTAAACTTAAAAAAATCTGGCAACTAATTCAAACTAAAAAACAGAAGCAAGGAAGCAAAATCATGTACAGGTCAACAAAGAAAGCCTTTATCTCAGGTACTGCCATGGTCCCAATTTGGTACAGGAGCATTACTAGGCTATGTTAGAAAAAACATGTCACCTTGAGGTAGATATAACCCAGAGGATGCATGGTTTGAAAAGCAAAGTAAGGCACATATTGCAATTCTTACACATCCTCTCAAGCAGAACTTTGTGCAGAACATAACTGCCCAACTATATGTCTCAGCATGCTTCTCTTTGCGTTCTTTGGTAGAAACCAACTGGGCTCTAGTTCCTATCTATTGGTCTTAATTCTGACTGATGATAAAACCATACAGTACCCTAGACTCTCCCCCTTTCATTGCCAGCTGCCATCATAATTGCTTAATGTTTGTCTTTCCAACTGGGTTATAAGCTCAAGGAAGGCAGACCATCTCTTATTCCCTAGTGCGTCCTCAGTGATAAGCCCTCTGGCACATAGACTGAGGAATATTTATTTAGTAACTGGTAAAAAAAAATAATCATACAAAAGTTAGCTCCCTCTTCCAGCTTTGAATGTATCTCAGATGTTAGTTCCTGATCTTCTCTGCACTGTGTTCTTCACAAGATCTAGATGCTGGACCCATCACCATGCTGACATGTTTCTTCAGAACTCAGTCATCAAAGGTATTTGAAAGGTATTTTGAAAATGTAGTTTCAACACTTCAGTTTGCGACAATAGCTAGCAGAGGGCTGGGAAATCAGGTTTACTCTATCAGACACTTCATATTTTTCTTCAAACCCTAAAATAACACGTGGGTAGGGATGGTTGTACTATTTTATCAGACAGATAAATGAGAACTTGTGGAAGTTAAGTAATTTGTCTAAACAAAGTCAGCTTGCTTATAAGCAGAGGGACTGGGATTCAAACTTCAATTGTTCTGATTCCCCAAAGCTATGGACTCTCTACTATGGCAAGCCTCTCTGCTCCATCAAATTACGTGTAACAGCCAAGTCAGGGACTGTCTTGGGTGCAAATATCTCAAGCATGAGCAGGCTGAGATTGTCCAGGCATGAAGGGTCAGACTCAGTCATTGGGTCCATTGGGTCCATTGAGAGCAAACCATCAGGCCACTCCACTGAAAGCCATGTGTCCGCCTGACAAAGCAATGACTCGGGCCAGGACAGCTGAAAGGATGTTTACAGGAAGAAAACCTGGCGGAGATTAAATCCTGTGCACCCACAACACCCAAGATCCTAGGCCGTTGTTTATGGCCAGAGCAGCAAAAGGTCAAACAGAAACTCTCCCCCCAGCCCCTTTTTCCTGGTAATAGCTTTGGGGATTTATCTTAGGACAAAGGGGCCAACTCCCTCCTCCAAATAAAAGCAACAAGACCCCAAAATGAGGGCAGATGAAGGCTAAATTTCTCAACCTTTCAATCTTAGCATAGGTTCCACCTTAGGGTATTTGGGTGTTGCCAATAACTAGATGAGATATTTGAGTTTGTGGGTGATTGCTGTCATTTTGTCTTGTTATAAGGGGCACTTCAAAACAGCTAGAAAGGTGGAAAAAGGCCAGAATTATTCTTCCGGTCTAGTCATCTCTGAACAAGGTCCTAAAACCTCAGCTGAAAAAAAAAAATGCTTGTAGAGCCAAAGAACATGTTTTCTGTTGTGTCTAGTCTTATTATCTTTGAAAAGTTTATAATTAAGATAATCATATTAAAAAGAATTAGAGGAAAATTTTTCAAATGCAATTTTAAAAACCCACAAACTTTACTTCTGATCCCATCTTCCTTATCCACATATTCTGAATTAGTGAAAAATCCCATCTTTTTTTCTTCAGTATGTAATCAAGTTGCAGACACACTGTTCATACAATGTTTAAGTCTGTATATTTTCAATTAACATTATGTCATAAATTTTAAAAAATTACACTATCATCATTGAGAGCTGGAAAATATAGTTTAATTGTTTCTTGACACAGCACTGAAGATGAATTTTTATTAATGCATTAGATAGCTACTAAGATAACAGATTGCTAGTAAATTAATTATTATTTAAATTTAATTATAATTTTTAAAAACCAAAGATATATAACAAAAGAGGTATTATTGTATAGGGAAATATAAATTACACAAAATGCTGATTAAAGATTTTAATCCTAGATTCTTATCATTACCAGGGAATGCCAGAGTCATACCTTCCAATTGATGATGTTCTCCTTTAGTTTATGGTACACATGTCAGTCCTCCTTATATAGGCAGCTAGTTCTGCCTTGTACAACTTTGAGGTCTTCCTACCTGTAACTTCCTTGCTGTAACAACAGAAAATAAATTTCCTCCCCTTTCATAAAAGACAGTTGCTCTTCTCCCAGCCCAATTAAGGAAGCAGTACCAAAAGTCACTCAAGAACTATTTATTGAGAGCCCTCCACATATCAAGCACTTTCTTAGGCCCTGGAGTTAGAATTGAGAACTCTACATGCATGCCCTGGCCTTGGGAAGATTTTATTACAGTGTTAACAAGGTTTAGAAAGTTAAAAAAAAAAAGGAAAACATAAAATGAGTGTCTATTCTAGACTGGAGAGCCAGAGAAGGCATAGGACAGTGTTTTAGGCAGAGGAAAAAGCAGGCACACAGAGCCCATAGGTACAGACATAATCAGCAGCACCAACCAGATGGGCAACAGCAGGGACCTTGCTTATGCACATCACAACAAAGCTTTTTCTCCCTTTTTATATTGAGACAAAATATTTGTACCTCTTCAAGGGGCACCAAAACACAGAGAGGAGAAATTAGTTCTGATTTTCCATAGTACTGCAGGGTAACTATTGGTTACAACAATCTATGACATATTTCAAAATAACTAGAAAAGAAGAGAACAAAATTCCCAACACATAAAAGTGATTAATGTTTGACATTACAGCTTTTTGTTAGTCATTCTTCTGCTAATTAAAGAAGCACCAAATGTCCTAGGACTAAGGAACCAAAGACATTACAGGAATTTTCTAAAAATTTTCTAGATCCCTGTTTCCCAGAATGTGTGCACATATAGGCATGTACTCAGGGAAAAGACTTCTATGTTCAAACATATTTCAGAAACACAAAGTTAAATACAGATAAATGAATATCTTCACTATGGTGCTCTCAGGAGTTTTCACAGGCACATCAGCATTGTCATTCTCTAAGGGACATCATTACACATAGGGTTCCAAACATTTTACCACAAAATCATCTTATGTGAAGAAACTAATGGGACTCAGTTTCCCTGGAACCTTCTTTGGTAAATTCAGCTATTGCCCAATCCTATATTTTTACAGATAGGGAAACCAGGACATAGAAAGGGAAACATAACTTTCCCAAAATCACACAGAGAAGGAAAACAGCAAAAATATTCTCCCAACACGCAGATAGTTGCATGCTCCAATATAATTTACTGCCTAATGGTCATCAGTAAAATGTTATCATCATATATTTTTCGGTCTGTATTGGAAACTACAGTATGCCAGTTGCACTGTACCATGCAATGCCCAGGTTTGCCCTGAGTTTTCTAGTTTGGCTGCCAGTAATTTGATTAGTTGTTTCCATCTGTATTTACACCTGTGTGCTGCCAAAGGCACCTTTTCTGTGGACCTGTCCACTTCCTGTGGTTGAGCCTAGGTTCTCTATTTCATCAGCTCCTTCCTTGATGGACTTGCTACTCTGAGGCCATTGTAAGCCTGATGAAAACGGGCTCTGCCTGGATCCAGGAGACTCCAAGTAAAAGTGGACCTAGCAGTAACTGAGTCTGACTCCTCAGCCAATAGAAGAACATGCATCGTCTATGTCACCCTTTCCAGAAACGGAGAGGAGCCCACTGCTTCAACCCATCCTGGGTCTTGATGGCTTCTGAAGGAATGGTTCTGCAGGCCCTATAGAGATATCCAGCCAGAAACCAAGCATAGACTCCTCGTAACCCTGGAGGAGAGTGGCTGTTCTGTGGAAATGTTTCGCCTCCAGCACCTCCACCTGTATTCCCTTACCCTCTGGCTGTATCGCACAGAAGATGACAGCCACCTACCATGGGAATTTTGTGTTGAGAGCCAGCAGTCATCATATTTGACTCAAGTAGCAAAGAGTTTCAAGATGATTTGTCTAAAGAGAAGCAGCTATGGATTTGGCTTTGATTGCTCTTAATTCTCTTAATGAGAAAATCTATAAAAAGCACTGGGAGGAAGAGACATTTTTATTGTCTTTCTCTAATTTTTAATGACAACAGGAGACATAATGAAGAAGGAAGGGGGCTTTCTTGTGGGTGCCGGGGTCTATTTCCCACAGGAAGAGGCTGGCTGGGTCCCAGCTCTCCAGGAAGGAACTCATAAGAAAATGAGGCAGTGGGGAACAATAAAATTTCCAGGGAAGGGCATGTGTCTTCAGAAGGGAAACGGCAGATGAGGGAACAGAGCACTCCTGATGAAACCAAGATTTGTGTGTGGCTCAGGCCTGGGACTCTGGGACAGGCAGAAAAGAAGACAGCCTTGGAGAGGGACTCTTCCCCGAGAAAACATGTGAAGCTTATAGGCACCACAAATTTGCAGTGTGGCTGATTCTCATCCTAATCAACACACTGTGAGAAGTGGCAATAGCTGTGCAAATGAAGGCCAAGAGATGTGTCCCTCCATTTGTCTGTCTGTCAACAGCTGGGATGGCTAAGCCCTCCTGGGCCCTGACTTGTGGGCACAGTTGTTTGCTTCTCTAGTGCCTGTGGGTTCTCACCTCCCTGTCTGCCCTCAGATCCTATTCCAGAACAAGGTCATGCCCATAAATCAGCTGCCACAGGTTCAGGAGAAAGTTTTCAGCTTCCAGGCCTGACTTAGCCTTTGCTGACCTTGTCCCAAGCCTGGCCTACAGAGATATTTCAAGCCAACGAAATCAAACTGCTGTCTAGATTTATGGATTTCTAAATGGTTAGAAATGAAAGACACCTCTAGAAAAATTACTTTGACCAATAGACAGATGAGGAAACTGAAGCTCAGCAGAGCCAGAGCCAGGTACTCTGAATCTCACACCAGTTTTTTCCTGGATTCACAACAGAGCAGGCCAAGTGTAAACAAAGACAGCCGAGGCCGGGGATTTAGCTCAGTGGTTCTCCCACCTGCCTCTCAAGCATAAGGACCCGAGTTCGATCCCCTGGTACCAAAAACAAAGACAGCTGAGCAGCCTGCTCCCCATGTATCTCCAGCCCATTTAGACATGCATACTGACACACAGTCAACTTAAACTAGGGAGAAGAACATGTCACCAGAGCTTGCCTCTGCTTCAGACAGTCGGACTCACCCCAGTTGAGAACAGAGCAGGATTACATAGAAAATAAGTTAGTTATTAACATCACCTGTTGGGTAGGTTGCTGACTTCATAATATGCAGTTTTCCCAGATATTCCCTTTATGATGTGACTTTTCTAGTTGAGAACATTCAGAAGTTCGCCATTGCTTAGGCTACTAAGCCTTTGATTCAGCCTGGATTCGGTCAAACAAATAAAGCCCTCAGGATATTATGGAAATAAAGGATTTGAAAGAGGAACTAAGATTTATACAAATATGGGAAGATGAGGGAAAGAAGATCTCTCTAGAAGGCTACCACCCGAGGCTCAGAGAAATACTCACTGGAATGAGAGCTGGTGTCCTGGAACAGGGGATTCTCCAACCCTGAAACCAAGAAGGTATTGAAAAGAGGTCTGGGAGCCTGCTAGGTCTGCTCTCTGAATCCTCTGAGAAGAATGACCGTGGCATTTCCACCTTCTGCTCTTTCAGGCAAACTAACCCAAAACTCTACAAGGAAGGGCATTCTTGAAAGTGCAGTTCATCCTCAGCAGGACTTGGTGGTGATACCATGAAGGTGACAGTAGCCAATCTGAAGGAGTCCTAATTCTGCAGTCTGACTTTTGAAGCTATTCACAGCTCAATCCCTAGAGTCTGACAGCCCTAGCTACACAAACAGGTACACAGAAGCTAGGTGCTGCATGCCAAGTATTAAAGTGAATGCAGCTGAGATTATCACAAGTTATCATTGCGGTCCGAGTCAATAGTCCACAGGTGGGATATCAGATCCTAATGGAGCAGAATGAGTTACAAAGGACTCCAGATGGGAAACATTAGCAGGGACCACAGGATGCAGAATATTCAGAACAATGGAAGGGATGTATTTCCTTTACTGCAGCAGATTCTCCCTGCTGAAGTTCAGATGCTGGCAGGGTTTCTGTAGATGACTGCTCCTCAACACAAACTGTACATCAGAATTTCCTGGGGAATTTCTTAAAACACCAATGCTCAGGCCCCAAGCACACAGTCAGCCTTAACACAGTACAGGAAAAAAAGCGATGCACTGAGAGACGGGGTAGAGGACAGGTAAAGTTGAATAAGAAGCTTGTGGAACATGAGGAAGATTGGGATTAATTGAAATAAGATGCTAGAGGAAATTGACCAAAGATGAGGTCAATGAGCATGAATTTACAGAATACTAATGTTAGGGTTATTTGATTTTTCCCAACATTGCTTAGCTACCCAAGTGTAAAACTGGACAAGTAGAATGGAAAAAGGACTTAGGGTTCAGGCTTTTTCAGGTAGATAGGGCAGAAGGCCAGAGGGGCGAGGGAATGGGGGATGCCCCGAGAAAGTAAATTCGATTCACAACTGTGAGATCCGTATGGACAGAGGAGTAGGAGAGGCCAGGGAGAATCTGGGACTCTGGATGAGTACGGCAGGACCAAGGGAGTCTACGCAGGCATACTGAGAAGGAGAGGCTCAGACAGGAGGAAGGTGGGATTGGGGCTTGTGGTGGAAGGAGCAGGAGATTTTTCTAATGGAACAGCTCTGAGTGATAAGTTGTGGCTCCAAAGAAGATTGGGCTGTGTGGTGAAAAAGAAGGTCCTAATTTATGAAGCCTCATTGTTGACAGGTGACCCTATGTGGATACTCAAATTTCCTGAGATTGTAGAATGGAAAGATCGTGATCTAATCCAAAGTCCTCAATAAGAAAAGGGACAGACCTGAAAGTCAGTAGATGACAAATGTAGGTAGAAGACATCAGCTTTAGAGTGGATTCTTTCACATTGGCCTGGCCAATAATTAGTTACAAGGCAAGTGTAGCTACCTGGCATTGTCCGCAACTCAGAAATCAACACCACTAGTCATGTTTGGCACAAAATAAACATCTATATAAATCTTTTTCACATACCAGCCCTTGTGTCAGGGACTTAGAAAGGTCTAAAGATGAACCAGGCATGGACAAGAAAATACGTTCTTTTTCTTGAAATACATTCTCTTTGGTGACCCTTTTTGAGTTTAACACTTTGCTTACTTATTTATAATCAAGTACATTTTGTTAAAAATCAGCATATTATTTTCTGTTGTATCTTAAAGAATACCTTTGGCAGAAAGAAGAGGGAAGGAATGGTATTGTATGATGCTCCAGGCTGATTCTTAACGAGAACAGTTTTGTACTTCTTTACTGTCTTAAAGAATAACAAAAAATTAAGAATGTAAGCTTTCAAGATAACACAATGTTTCACATTTCATTTACATCATCTGTCTTCCAGGATGGGAAATTTATGTAGACAGACATTCAAGTAGGGTTCTTCCTTTCTATTTTAGCTGAAAACGATATGTAATATTCCAAAGTGAAGTGAGATGTCATGGAGTAGGATTTGTAAAAGACATATAAAATCCTGGCTATATGACTCTTCATTCTCATGCAGAGTCATGCAGATAGAAGTAGGTTGGAGTTTTGTAGAGGGGTCTATGTGTTTTGAGTCATAGCTCCCTAAAAGAGTTAGAAAGCAGTTCTACCTTTACCTCAAAGGAAGGGAACTTCAAGGAGACCAATAATGACCCTTAATATGAGTCTTCACAAATAAGGGAGCCAATCCAATAGATCTGCCAGTCCAGATAACATGGCAGAGAGAAGTAAAGGAGAGAGCAAAAGAACACATTTGGGTAACCTCTCGGGTTAAAAGGCAAGAGCAATAGACCACAAGTGGGTGTGCATGTGAGAACCTGCATAAGTAAGATCACTCAAGCACACACCCCCCCCAAGAGAACCCAAAGGAAAGAAGAGATCTCAGCAGAAACAAACTGAAGCCACCACCAAGTGTATGGGCTGAAAGAAGAGCAGATAAGTAACTGGAAGGAAGCAGCACTCAAGGTACTGCAAATGAAGACCTCCAGCAGTGACGGTCAGGGTGGGTCCTCTGGAGAATGCCAGTGCCCTCACTCAATAGGCCAGCTCACAAACAGAACCACATGCTTCTCTTCGTCCCTCTTTTGGATCATCATGCTCCATCCCTGGAGATATGGAAAGCAAGAGGGGAGGGAAAAGTCCAGAAAGTCAATGTAGCCACCCATATCCTTTGCAGTCTCTGCAGCCTTCCCGCTGAAGCAGACCCAAGAGGTGAGACAGACACAATTACATCTAGTTCCAAGATTTCACTATTACACAAGGTTGAACCATTTAATTTATAAATGGAGGCTATCAGTTGTCTCATTGTTATATGCATTTCTCGGTTGTAAAGGTAGTTTCATGAGAGCATATGTATGTCAATGTGCAATTGTATATATGTGAAATATATTAAATTTATTGTATGTCTATTTTATTACTGAAAAGCTGTTACAAAAGAATTAGGTAGTTTCTGAATGTACTCTAAATTTAACTTGTTCATTAGAACACATGTTGAATTCTTTCTCTTCTTTCTTTTACCTTTTGCCTAAATTATTCTATCCTAAGTAGGCTTCTGTGATACTGCAGTTAAGTACAAGTAAGTGCAACTATTCAAATAGTCTAATTATTCACGTGATACATTTGAAGTATTATTTAATGTCTTTCAGAGCAATGGATAAAATATTTTGGTGATATAGGTCTGGAAAGTCTTAATTTCCCTTCATATATCTTTTCACTCTGAACTTCACTGCCCTAGAATGTAATCTTGATTATAGTAAAAAATTTCTCTACACACATGTTGACACGCATACATACATGTATACACAAACACCCCCTGAGTCTTTAATTTCTTTGAATATTATAACCCTAGTATTAGCCACATTAGTTAAAACTCACAATTTAAATTGAACTACAAACTGAAGAAAAGAAGATAAAAGTTATTTATTTCCATTTTTTCTTAATCTAGCAACCAGGGATATGGCATTATTTTCTTAAATGTTATTTCATTTGCCAATTGTTTCATAATGTTTCTATTATATTCTCAATTTTTCTCCTGAATAATATTTTATCACTCCTATGAAATGTGCCTTACCTTGTCTGATAGACATTCTAGACAGATTAGAAATATTTTGCATCCAAATTGCATAATTGATAGAGTCATACTTCTTGGAATGTCAGAAGAAATGATTAGAAGCCACTTCCCATCCATCCTCTAATTTTTATTCCAGGATCTGAGTAATAATGGTATTGCGAATGAAGTAAAACTGTGAGAAGCTAGTGTACTATTTTGGGGGACCTCATCTGTAAAATATCTCTGAATATTTTTCCCTTGGGATTGTCTTGTAACCAACGTGATGTTTCATGATGTCATTGAAATTGGCAAGTCAAACATTATCCTAAGGATTAGTAAGCTAGACTAGTTTCTGTCTTCCTTACATTACTCTGTTAACAAAGAGAAGATTATTAAATGGAAAGGAGGAAGCAGGCTCAAGGTCACATTCTCCATACCTGCAAATGGCCAAGTTTGTTCTATGTGGTCATCACATTTCTGGATTGAGATTCATGCATCTATCCAACACCTACTAAGTAGCTCTTGTACTGCTTAGAACAAGATGGGTGGAGAGAAAGGGAAGAAGGGAGGGAGAGATCGAGGAAGGGAGGGAGGGAGGGAGGAAGGAAGAAACAAACGAACTGGGTCTTGGTGACACCTTGAACTAAACCTACCTCTGGACCCTCCCTTTACATGAACCAACACACTCCCTATGGTGTAAACCAGTTTGAGATGGCTCTCCTGAGGCTTTTCACATAAAAGAAACTTAATGGATAGATTGATAACATATGGAAAGCATTTAGTGTAGGAACTGCAATATAATAAGTGAAACATAAATGGTACTTATAATTAAATAGAAGGAAGTGATGTGCAGTAAAATAAAATCTTATAATCTCAAAATTGTGTGTTCATTTTGGAATATACATAGAAATAGGAAGAGGGTATATGAAAACATGTAAAGGATGATATACGATAAAATTACCAGTACCTGCCAATCTCAGCCAGCCCAGCTGCAGAGAATGAAATCGTTCAACATTTCACCACATCAGTGAGAAGCCATCTGGAGGAGCACTGGGGTCCCATCACGGCCATCAAATGTAATTAATCTTACAAGGCAGGACGTGATGGAAGCTTCTGGTTCCCTCATGCTCAGATAAAGGTCCATCTCACAGGTCTCCTTCCCCCAGTCCCTGCTGGGTCTCAAGTTCCCTACATGCCTGAAGCACTAGCCTAAACCCGGCACAACAGGCTTGGGTCTGACAACTCTATGATTTCCTTCCAGTTATTTAACCCATGTATCCAGTGAGGCTCATCTTTTGCATGCATGTGCACCATTTTCCCAAGGTGTGTCCATTAAGCCAGGGTGGCTAGGGTTGAGGGTAACATTGTACAAAGTAGCTCTATATGAATGTGGGGGACGTATCTATTCTTGAGTCCTCAGATAATTCTCAGTTCCCTGAATTGCTACTTGTCAAGATGAGCAGTTTGGAAACAAAACACCCTCCACAGCTGAAGAGATTTAGAGGCTCTGCTCATCTGTCTGCCTTCAACAGTTGATGTTTCCCACCAGAATTGCTCCCGAGCTTCATGATGGCTTCCCGTTTGGCCCCAAACTCCAGAAAAAGTTTCTTCATTTCCTTTGTTCAAATCCTGCACTACTTCCCACTACAGAATGACAAATAATTAAAATTCTGATGATATTCACCATTGCTCTTAATCAAGGATTTTGTAAAACAGAATGATC